GATTACCTCCCAGCCTTTGGTTCACCGGCCTGAGGCAGGAAGGAGCCGCACTTCCAACAAAATCCTTTTGGCAGGCGCTTGCCAACTTGGGCAATACAGTAACATCTATTCGGAGACGGCTCCGACGGAAATAGACCAATCAAAATGCTTTGTGCCTCTAGACCAAGTAAAAAAAATCTGGGGATTACAGGGTGGAAAAGGGGGGGGGGCAAGACACATAATTTGATATTTTGCAGTTAAGTTTGAAATTTTCTTGAAAATAATTGATTTTCCAATGTTTTAGTGGCCATATGTGTGATCTGCAGCAAATAATACTCAGTTTGACCTCCCAAAGCAGTACATCTGTGAGCGGGAGTGCGTCTCCGAATAGTTCCTGGGTGCTCGCCGGAGATGTCTCCGAATATCTTCTGCCTGGGTAATACCGCCCACAATAGTACTGTCAAAAATTCGTGGCACAACTTATTGTCAAATATTTCCTAAACTATTCAACGTAGACTTTCCAGCGTTTGCACACTGCCTTGAATCAATTTGTCTTAGCAGGCCATTATTTTTGCAAACACCTGCCAGCACATTTTAGAAAATCCGAATAAATACTATTAAAAAATCCATGTGGGTGGTTCTTACAGATTTTGCTAGGTTTACAGCAGTGGCAATATCGCTTTTAAAAGCAAGTCCGTCATTTAATGTTTCAAAATCGCGATACTATCTCTATTAAAGGTATTTTTTGAGAACCTCTAGATCTAGTGCAAAAAGTGTTTTCACTATAAAAATCACTGAAAGTGTCATTTGCTGAGCTGTGGCATAGGCCACATGCGTATGTAAAATGTGTGTGAGAAGAGGGGGGTGCTGTGAACAATCCAAATTTCGGCTTGAAAGAGATTTGTGGTACATGCATTTAATATAAATTAGTAATGAATTGTAAAAACAAAATACTATTATCTAACCTTAGTTGTTGTGGAAAAGTTTGATTAAGTTAGGACAAATTGATACAAACAACTGTGGACATTGATTCATCCGTTAAAGAGATATTTGAGGATAAGTTGCGCCACGAATTTTTGCCCGCACTATAGTAGTCTCGCTACCTTAGAATTACAAAGTTCTATCTGACATTTTCGGTCGTTTTGACTTATGAAGACCATAAGATCAAAAACCA